CGCGGAGAGGATGCAGTCGAAAAATTCCTAGAGTGTCTAGAACAAGAACAAAAATATATTCAAGAGAAGCTTGATTGGGTTGAACCCATGTGAATTGAATTGAAAGAGAAGAAGAGCAGGCGTTTCAAGATGCAATTTATTGTCATATTTGTGCCTTTGAATTAGGAGCTGATCGTGTTCGTGATCATTGCCATCTTTCTGGGAAGTACCGTGGAGCTGCACACAATGACTGCAACTTAAAGTATAGTTTTACTGGCCGAACATCTGCTATTCTTCACAATCTACAAGGGTATGATTCTTCATCTGATTATGCAAGGACTTGGTAAGCTGAAAGAGAAGAAGATAAACTGTATCCCGAATAACACTGAAAAGTACATCTCTTTCTCCATTGATAATTTGGACTTTATCGACTCTTTACAATTTATGAATGCGTCGTTGGAGAAGTTAGTATCAAATCTAGCAAAGAACGGTATTGACAAGTTCCGTACCCTCAAGAAATATATCGACAGCGACAAAATAGGAAAGGTGTCTAATCCTACGACTACATGGGTTGTACAGCAAGATTTGAAGAACCAACTTTACCACTAAAGGAATTCTTCTACAACGTGTTGAACGACGAGCATTTTTCAGACGAAGATTATACTCACGTGACAAATGTATTTGATAACTTTGAATGTCAGAATACACTCTTGCTTATGGACATTACCAAAGCATATAAGCATGACCAAAATGAAGAAAAAAAACTATCAAGTTTTACTTATTGTTGATGAAGGATGTTGAATGCAAAGTTCCTGTATACAGGAGCCAGTTCTTCAAAAGTCGGTTAATGCTTACCCAGGGTTGATTTGAATTTTCAAATTAATTTTTTCAATCGCTTGTTTATAAAGTTGAACATGTTTTTTCAAAAATAGGCGAAGGTGCCTTGGCTCTGTTAGGAGGTTTGTGCGAAAGCGCTGTAAGGGACCTTCGGGACTCAGGGACCCTTTTGCGGGACATATTTTATACCGTTGTTTGAAGAGATTGCAATCAGTTTGCATTATGCAACGAACGCAAAAGGATTGTCCAATATGTGGGAAAAAGAGTTTGTTAAAATTGTCCAACCATTTGGCTGATTTTCATCAACTTTCCTGTGAAGAAAGAGAAGGCTATCTTACTCAGGCAAAATTAAATTCTACTACGTCATCAGCTATGGTCGTGTCAGAGTTGTATGAGAGAGCATACGCATGCGCACGATAGCCACTTGTATACGCCTTTGTCACGGAGAAGCCACAATTTTTTCGAATCTCAAAAAGTTTCTACTTCAATCCTATCCATCAAGACGAAAATTGCTGATTCAAAACTTCCAAAGAACAAAATCCAACTCTTACAGATAAGTTGATACAAAATTAGCTAATTGTTTGTATAACTTTGCGTTTATTTGTTATGTAAATTATGTCTCAAGATAAACCAGAGTCAGCACCTTCTGAGCACGCTGCCTCCGATAATAATGATTATAACACTCATTCAAGAAATGAGGAAAACTTTCTTTCTGTGCTCACGGCTATGCAGGCTAGCATGTCACAAACAAATGACTATTTGAAAGGTATATTCGAAGGACACAGGACCGTCGAGAAGCGGCCTCGTGCTAGCGACGCCGAAGCCGAATACATAGTCGTAGATGAGCCCGAAAACGGCACAGAACCAGCTCCAAAGAGAGCAAAATCTGCCCCAAAGTCCGGGCACACGTCCGAGGGTAATGACCCGTTAACAACAAGCCAGCAAAGTACTGTAGAAGATTGTCACGAGAACGAACAATCTGCCGAACAACCTAATGAGGGCGATGACACGTTGAGTTTGTATGGAGGACCAGACTTTCGAGAGGATGACGACGAGGTTAACAACGATAATCTCCTTGAAGATATAGCTCAAAATTTGTCTGCTAAGGAACAAACTGGGCCTCCTATTACTGAACCTTTGGCCAAAATTATTAATTCAAAACTTGCGGATGATTTCGATATTTCAAAATTGAAAGAAATCCTAAACAAATATAAACGACCTGAAAACTGTGACCAGATGTATGTGCCCAAAGTAAACCAAGAGATATGGCAAAAATGAAGCCATTTGCCAAAAAGGCTGACATTAAAATGGCCAATTTACAAGACACCTTGATAAAAGGGCTCTCAGGTCTAGCGAAGGGTATTAATACATTGTTAGAGTGTAGGGAGAGTAAAAGCATTCCAAATTACAAAACTATCATCCCGCAATTGCTTGATACTACTGCCCTAATTGGACATGTATGCAAAGAGATTTCATATAAACGTAAAGATGCCATTCGACCTCTTCTTCACCCAGATTACAAACCACTTTGTTCAAGGACCCACAAAGTTGGGCCTCTACTCTTTGGGGAAGATCTAGCTAAGAAAGCTCAGGATATTAAAACATCAAGCAAAACTGTATCTAGCTTAACCTTCCATTCAGGGCAAAACAACTTTACCAAACGTTTTTCATCTGGGCCATCACAATCTCAGGCAACCAGGCCTTTTTTATCCCAGCGAGGGAGGACACAGTATCCTCCCAGGAGGAACCAAAATTACCAAACCCGGAAGCCATCAACAAAAAATTAGAACAATTAAGACAACAGGTATATAGTTTTCCAGACTTTGTTATAAAGGAATTAATCCCTTACTTAACCGAAAAGGTTGCCTCCTTTCACGCGGGTCAAATTTCACATTCCCTTAGCGAATGGGAAAAATTAACCTCAGACTCAGACATTTTAGAAATGGTTTCAGGGGCTCAGCTTACTTTTCATAGCACTTGCCCTGTTCAGCACCAGTCCCCTCCAAATATGCTTCCACATGCAGAGGTGAATAAAATAGATGCTGCTATTGAGGAATTATTGAATAAGAAAGTGATTATCCCTTGTCATGCAGACTTAGTTGAATTTGTTTCCCCTATTTTTACCACTCCGAAAAAAGATGGCAACCTTAGATTAATTTTAAATCTTAAAAAATTGAATGAATCTGTAGAAAATTACCATTTTAAAATGGAAAATATACATACCGCTCTTACGCTTATAACAAAGGGATGTTGGATGGCATCATTAGACTTAAAGGATGCTTACTATAGTGTTCCAATCCATCCTGCATCCCAAAACTTCCTAAAATTCTCATATAAGGGAAAATTATTTAAATTTACAGCTTTCCCCAATGGCCTCTCTTCTTGTCCAAGAAAGTTTACCAAATTATTCAAACCAGTCCTGGCCACATTAAGGCTGAAAGGACACATTATTATAGTCTACATAGATGACTTACTTTTGATTGGCCATTCATATGAAAGTTGTATTAATACTATCATTGCAACATTGACCTTATTGGAAAAACTTGGTTTTGTTATCCATCCACACAAGTCTGTATTTATCCCAACACAAGAAATAATTTTTCTTGGGTTCCGAATTAACTCCCGCACAATGACAATACGTCTTACTGATGTGAAAATAGAAAAACTCATTTGTCTCATTACAACCATCTTGGCATCAGAAGCAACTAAAATAAGATCTGTTGCCCAAGTTATTGGTCATATGGTATCAAGTTTCCCGGCTGTCAAATACGGCCCACTTTACTACCGCAACCTTGAGAAAGACAAAACCGTAGCATTAGCTAAACACAAAGGAAATTTTGAAGCTCCAATGAATATATCTAAGAAAGCCAAGACAGAATTAAATTGGTGGCTAAAGAATTTACAAGGGTCATTCAAAAATATCCTCACAACCCCAATTGACATTGTCCTTTATTCAGATGCCTCTCTGACTGGGTGGGGGGCAGCTCTAGGTGACCAATCAACAGGGGGGAACTGGTGCAAACAGGAGGGCGTACAGCATATAAACGTCCTTGAAATGAAAGCTGCATATAAACGTCCTTGAAATGAAAGCTGCATTATTTGCACTTAAATCATTTGTTTCAAAATTAGCAGGGAAGCATGTTAAAATTATGGTGGATAACAGTACAACTGTTTATGTGATAAACAACATGGGGACAAGCCATAATGACACTCTAAACACCATAGCAGTGGAAATTTGGGAATTCTGCATGACTAACAAAAGAGAGTTTAAGTTCGACTCCCGATACCAATACCAATACTAACAACAGGTCATGCGCATGCGCTGTGCCTGCAAAGAGCACGAGGACAATTGTTTTGGAAGTCGTCACTACGGAAGTCAGCGTCATTTCGGTAGTCGTGGGAATTGAAAGGTAAACTCATTATTCACTCATATAAATACTGTATTTCATAGTTTTTTCCATAAAGACGTAACATATTTGTTTATTAGCATCGCCTGAGTCATGTTTTAGTAGGAATTTTAGCTCAGCTGCGGTTTTGTATACAGCACATTTTCGCTAACAATGTGTTTTATATTCTTGTGTTTTATTATAGTTCATTACATATTTACAATGGCGTCCACTTTCGAAGATGCTGATAAAACACGGTAGGTCAAACAAGATAATTAAATAACTTTCTTTGGATTTATAAGAACATGATTTATAGTGATATACGTGATTGGTTTTAAGCTCTTATTGTTGTTTTGGTTTAGTGCATGAATCATTAAGTTATTAGGGTACTTTATTCCTATGACCTTCGTTTACCAGTGAGTGATTTCTGTGTTCATATAAACTATTTATATCCTACCTATATCCTGTCCCATGCAGTGCACGGGACTGTAAACATCCCATTTTTTAAGACATTTTTTGTTGTGAGTGTTTATTGTTATTATTAAATGACATTATAAAGTTTATATTTCATAGACATTTGTTTCTTAATCTTTTAGAAAGAAAAAAGTCTTTAGATGGAAACGTGAGCATAATATCCTACTTCTAAAGGAAGTGTTAGCACAAGAGCCATACAAATATAGTAAGGGCTCAAAGGAAAGGGGTGAGACTTGGAGTGCAATTGCAAGTACCTTAAATGGTATTCCAGGTTCAGGGTTAAACACAACACAACGTGGAGTTCGTACACAATATGACAAGTTAATGGATGAATTTATAAAGAACGAGAGAGAAGAAATGGTGGCTTCAGGGATTGAGGCTGAATATGACGAGCTTGAACAGCTCTTGCTTGATATATATGAAAAAGCACGTGATGCTGCGACAGCCTTGGCCAAACAGCTTGAAGAGAAAGAAAAGATTGCAAATGATGAGAAACAGCAGATTGCAGATGTCAGGATTCAGGCAATGGAAAGGCAAGCAAACAACCCTGTTAAACGGAAATCAACAGTGTTGAAAGAGTTAATTGAAGAAGGAAGAAATGCCAAAAATGAGTTGGAAATAAAAAGAATGGCAATTGAGGAGAAGCGCTTACAAGCAGATAAAGAAAGGCAGGCATTATTCACAGATATTGTTGCTCAACAGCAGCAGCAACAAGCTTTGCTTATTGAACAACAAATGCATGGCCATCAACATCAACAACAAATTATGAAGATGCATCTAGAAAATCAAGCCCAACAGCAGATATTTCAACAACAACAGCAAAAGTTGATGGCAGAGTTACATGTTCAAAACAGTCAAGTTCAACTGGAACTGCTTAAAGTTTTAAGAGACATTAAAGATAAGTAATATAATTACAAGACTATTTTACATAATACGTTCAGTTCGCACAGATGCTACCACTTGTTCTTGTTATAAACATTTAAAGTTTGGTGTCCCTGTTAATATTTATGGAAACTATTTAATATATTTTTCATTAGTATAATGTATATACAGTCAAGTTCAACTGGGACTGCTTAAAGTTTTAAGAGACATTAAAGATAATTAATATAATTACAAGACTATTACAACACACTTGTTTTTGTTATAAACATTTAAAGTTTGGTGTCCTTGTTAATATTTATAAAATTAATATATTTTTCATTAGTATGATGTACATGTATACACAAATATACAAGGTTATGCATTTTATTCAGTAAATCCCAAGTACTCCTCCAAGCTAGGTGGTTGAATTTCAAAAAAGTTGCTTCCTGTGTTACCATAAAGGCAAACTCTAGCATTATATAAAATAATGCTAACTATATATAGCTTCCCTACTGCTTGCAAGTACAGCTTCAAGTTCTTTTTAAAGTTTACAAATGCAAAATATGTGCTTATTCCTCCAAATGGCCACTCTACTGCTATTCGTACACTACTCATCGAGGTATTGAATGCCTTTTGTGCCTCGGTAAGGTTTGCCCCCTTGAATGGACCTTGTACGTGGCGTGAAACCATATATACACAAGGGTCTGTTATCATGATCATCATAAGAATGTACTTGCAGCTGTTCTTGTAAGCCAGACTCCACAAATATCCTAGCATCATGCCTTTTACCCTCTGCAAAAGAGTTAAGGCAAAAATTTACAAATACCATTCTTATCAAGTAACTTTTTAATTATGCCTTGTAGAAATTCTTAAAGAAAAGGCAAATTAGTTTTGGTCAGGAGAGTGGCTCATTTCATGGAAGTGAGCTAGGTTTGGGGGTAAAATAAAAACTAAATCAAAATTCACCACTGCTTGGCTTGCTATATCTTGTCAATTTATTTTGTAATACATTGATAAAAACACAAGCACCCCATGCCTTGCTTCCATGCAATTAGCTTCTCAGCTGTCCAAAACTAGCAAAAGCACTATTTAATTGCTAACATTTATGTGCAAAGACTGGTACCATATTGAGTGTTTTGAACCGAAAAACTTACCTACAGGTCCATGTACATGCACTATTAGACCATTTGCTGCTACAACTGACTGGTACTTTAGTGCGTGAACACGTTTGTGTCCATTATATACCTGTCTCTGGTTTACCCCTGGTCTACTTATTGGTCGAACCTAGTGTTGGAAACAAAAATATTATTACACTCATGCAGGGCCTTTAAAACAAATTGTCACTTATAATTATTTGGTTTTTCTGCAAATTTCAATTCAACTATGCATGCAAAACTTACCGTCCCATCTACAAATCCCCAACAATTATCCAATGCAGCTCCTTTTCTGTGAACTGGTTCACAATATAGTGACAGATTTCTTTGGCTCATCCATGGAACAACGAAAGAGTTCAGTAAATGTTTATGCTCTGCATAAATAAAATCTAGCACAGCATTGCTAATAATTGAAAGCTCTGCTTTAGAACGTCCAAAGAGAGGAATTAGGTCAACATAACGACAAGGGTACGCCAAACGTCGCAAAAGCAGACACAAACCTTCAATAGTATTGCATGCTGTACCCTGATAACCAACAAATTTATCAGGCAACCGAAGAGCTCGTGCAAGTCGAGTGATATCTTGTTTTAAAAATCGAAATCTCTCCAAACACTCAGTTTCATCTAGTCGGTTTAAATCTAGTCTTTCATAATTTCTGTGTACTATTGGCTCGTTCTCATTGCACCCAGCTAATTCTAATGCTAAAAAAGCTTCCTCTTCACTTAAAATATCGTCTTCAAATGCCTGTACTATTAAAGCTTCTTCTAAGGAAATATCAACTGCATGCGCCATGTTTGTTTTGATATTTTATTTCATCCGTCGTGATAACTTAACACTTTAAAATTCCCGCTACCAAAATGACAACGGAAGTGAAGACATCGGTATTGGTATTGGTATCGGAAGTCGAACTTAAACTCTCTAAAATAGAAATCACTGCAGCACACTTGCCTGGGTCTACCAATGTAGTCGCTGATAAGGAATCAAGGAAAATATATCGCGAAGGTGAATGGATGTTAAATCCATCCTATCTCCAAACAATTAAACAAAATACTGTTCATACAAGCCTGACCCAGAGGCAACATACATTGACGCATTCTCTATCCCATGGAACAATCTAAAGTTTTATTGCTTCCCTCCGTTTAGCTGCATTTTAAAGACAATCCGAAAAATTACACAAGAACGAGCCACGGGCATTCTGGTCATCCCAAATTGGCCGACACAGCCTTGGTATCCACTGATTGCACCACTGCTAGTACAGCCACCTTACATTTGCCATCCTTCCCCAACACTCCTACATCTACCAGCTGCGCCAGACGAGTTGCACCCTCTAGTAAAGAAGCTGGAACTGAAAATATGTTTTGTGTCAAGCAACAACTCACTCAGTTAGGTGTGTCGGAAAGGTCAGCGACGATAATAATGGCCTCTTGGAGGGCAGGGACAAAATCCCAATACCAAACATATATCAAAAAATGGGGACATTTTTGTAGTACTACAAGGTGCGAATTTTTCAACCCACCTATTCCAAAAGTTATTGAATTTCTGTCCGATCTTTTCCATTCTGGTTTATCGTACTCGGCCATTAACTCAGCGCGCAGTGCTTTATCGGCTTTGTTCCAGACCAGTGCTCAAACTCTACCTTTTGGGCAGCACCCCCTTGTCAAACGTTTCATGAAAGGGATTTTCGAACTGAGACCCAATTTTCCATGATATAAGTCTATTTGGGATGTTAATATCGTATTCAATTATTTGCGGAAACAACCGAAGATACAGGATTTGTCCTTAAAAGATCTTACATGCCAACTAACATTCCTCCTCTTAATACTGAGCGGGGAAAGAGGCCAAACAATCCACCTTCTTAATATGGACAACATGGCCCTCTCTGCAGAGAAGTGTGTGTTTGTAGTTCAAGAGAAGGTTAAACAAACCAGGGTTGGACGTCATATTCAACCAATTACTTTTAATGCTTATCCACATGAGCCAGCGCTTTGTATTATTCAACACCTCAAGGAGTATATCGCACGAACAACAGAATTACGTAGCCATGACTGTAAAAAACTTCTGATAAGTTACACTAAACCTCATAAAGCGGTCTCTCGTGAAACCATATCACGATGGTGCAAGACAGTGCTATCCCTAGCTGGTGTTAACACGAAGGAATTTGGTTCTCACAGTACCCGAGCAGCCTCCACATCATATGCAGCAAACCAACTAGGAGATATCACTCAGATTATCGAGTCGGTTGGCTGGTCGAATGCAACGACTTTCCAAACTTTTTACAATAAACCTATCAAGACTTCATTTAATCTCGGATCTACGATATTGAACACACTAGAAAGTAGCTGATATGTTTTGTTAAATTATATATACAAATATATACACATGAGTACCTATTGATAATGAATTTTCTGCCTGGGTTACTTTGTAACCTCGGAGCCTGATTCCATTGTTTACTGTGAAATCTCATACAACTCTGACACGACCATAGCTGATGACGTAGTAGAATTTAAAAATTAAACGAGACTTACCTGAAGTTGAAGTTTAATTTGAATTCTACAAGTCATCAGCGGGGAGTGGAAGAGTTGCATGCCCGAACCCTACAACAATTTATACCCACCCAACTCTTCCACTCCAACAATGAACTCAGGCTGACTTTGAAATGTGGCTATCGTGCGCATGCGTATGCTCTCTCATGCAACTCTTCCACTCCCCGCTGATGACTTGTAGAATTCAAATTAAACTTCAACTTCAGGTAAGTCTCGTTTAATTTTTAAATTCATCAGCGTATGAAAAAGAAACTCCCTTTTATGTTAAAGACCTTGATATCGAAAGAACTTTGAAAAGTATTTTGAAATGACAAGAGAGCATGGAAGCAAACTTTAATGAATATCTCAAAGTCGTAAGAGAACGACATTAACATTGTTGCAGTAGTAAAATAGACAATGTCTCTGTGAAGTGGTTAACTTTCCCGTAATATTTCTACACATCTACAAAACAAAACTGCTATGTATTTGGAACTGAGAACTAGGTGATGAAGTCTCTAAAAATTAATCGAATGACTGGCATGGAAGCTGCTGGAATATAGTGAGCAGTGTCAGGGTGAAAGTTAAACAGGATATTTAAAAAAGAATGTCTATACCTTCATGAATGCATAGTTGTTACTGTAATTATATACGTGTAAATTTTTATAGAAATAAAAGACAGAGAACCTTATCACCTGAGTCTTTATTATTCTTACTTGTGAAGCTGTCAGTAAATTTCAATCCAGTATTTTTACTGTAGTTGTGCATTATTAAAACCAAAGCAAGTAACGATCAAAAATGTTTTTCAAACGACATTTCCAATGTAGATAGAATGAACGCATTTATGTTTTAATAGATGGTGATTGCTTTATTAATAAATTACTGTTGCCGTATTGCCACAGTTGAATTAAGCTGCAAAACGTGTACATGCATGTCTGCATCCAAACCAGTATTCTTAAAAACGCTGAACTTTTATGAGCAAGGATAGCCATGACCTATATCAGCACTTCAAAAATGTCAAACTAACTCACATATATACACCCCTTTGCTCAAGAGAAATCGCTGATAACACCCTTAGTAGATTACCCCCCCCATATAGCGGACAAAGAGATGCCGCCAATGACGTCACAATGGATATTCACGTGGATACCACGTGAACATCATGACGTCAGATATATAAATATATGATGATTTCATCATATAGTGGTATGCAATAGTGTTCACGTGTATACATGTGTTTAGCAGGCTAGTATTGCATAATATTGTGTAATATGAGGGATCATGTGTATAGCAGGTTAGCGTTGCATAGTGTTGTGTAATATGAGGGGGAAGCTTGTGTATATGTGTTGTGTAATATGATTAATATTCTTAT